GCCTCACCGGAGCCAGTCTTGCCGCATTCCGTGTCCCGTGACCTTCTACAGCGTCCTTATGAACCCAATGACTTTCAATCTCAGCTGCAATCCCACCGATTGGAGCCTTATCGTGTAAGCTCTAGACCCATATTCAGCCAGGCGGAGCCAAGCCGAATTCTAGAATGCAGTGACAAGCCCGGACAGATGTTCAGCCAGCCGAGCTGGGGCATGCATCCACAGCATTCACCATCACAACTGCTCTCCAGCTTGGAGAGTGTTCACAGACAGGCAGACAGCCTGAAAGCCTACAGAGAGGTAACTTCTTGCGTTCTGTTGGCCCATTGTACACACGATTTAGTGGCGTTTTTTTGTGAAGATTTTTCGTTGCCTTTCTGAGTTGGAGCCCAGTTCGCACGTTATTTTTGCTTCATTGATCAGCATAAATGACCAGGAACTTCAGTTAGCAAAAGTCGTCTAGGGTGATGGGCTACTAAAAAGTGAAATTTTTAGAAGGAAATAGGAAGAGGATCTCAGTATACCATTAATTTTGTTTTGCCTTGTCATCCTAAGGGTTATTTATTTCCTGCTGAACTGCATTTTCTACTCCGCCCGGGTCCCAGCAACACCTGCAACAGATTCCTAAACATTGTAATACCGCCAGAAATGTTCCACTTTGATGGAAGAATTAGAGGAGATCTGCTGGAAAATGTGTTGTGTGGTTTGGCTGTAACGCGTTTACACTAGACGAGAAAGACCCGGCTTCACATTGCGTCAGGTATGTCGATGAGACGCGAGCAGGGACATAATGACAGAATAGCCGGAGCGGCAAGGAAAATTCACTGATATCCTGATAGATTTTAGTCATTTCTCTCAAGTCAAACTCAAGCATTTGCCCTTAAATCACCTTAAACGAAATAGGCTTACTCGAATTCTTGTTTAGGAAAACTTATCATTTCATATATCTGCTAATTGATGCCAAAAGAGATGAAAACACCAGTTTTGAATTCAGCCTTATGTGGTGATGGGACCGAGTAAAGTTGGTACTGTACTCTAGCCCACAACCTTTTGAAATGCAATTAAAAGTGTTCAAATTTAGGAAATTTTACTACCTGTCTAACATCATCTCAAGACTCTGGTAGCTCAAGATTCTAAAAAAAATATCCTGTATGTAAATATTTAAAGTAGAAAGAAAATCCCATGTTGCCCATAATAGTTGAGAATTTTGAAGGGATTTATCGAGTGTATCATATCAGGTGCTGCAATCAATCCGTAATCTGGCAATAAATTTGCTGGAATTCTAGTTAGTCAGTCGCTCATAGCATTGTCGCTTTTAAAGCATACATTTATAAATGACCCTAAAATTTTTTTTACTAGATTTAATTTTAACTTTGACACTGGCTTTTACTGACACCTTGATCACACCTACAAAAAAGATAGCTTTATATCAGAATAGCCACACCTGTATGATAAAGTTAAAATTTAAACTAGAGTGTTTATTTATACTGAGTATGAATGGGTTTTGAAATCACCAGCAATTTTTGTAAAAGAACCTAACCAATCTAGACAACATATGATTGTTTAAAGAATAATAATTGAGTTTTTCACAAAAGGACGTGAGTAGACCCATTTTTATCCTTAAATTTAACTCAGGCTAGACTCCCTAAAGGTTTACCCATCCAGGTTGACGGCAGTTTTGATCTCATCCACGTCTCCCAGCCCCCCCGGCGAGATTTCATACCGGGTAGTATTCATCTTAGCACGCTATGATTCCGCCACATAGCCTTGTGTAATAGTGGATCACAGGGCAGATGTGACCGTCTAGGCAAGCCATGCTTCTAATAAATCTCCTTTTATTATGAACATATTGATAGCGCAAGCATAGGTTTGCCGTTAAATACACGACGCTACTTACTTCCAGTATAAGTATGTTTAGTTGCTATTAGTAATACTTGAATAGGAACTTTTTCATCCTTGCTTGCTTAAGGTATACATGATAAAAGACGGATCCTTAAAACTTAATTTCCAAAGACAAAGGAACCGTTCTGTGCTCATTACTTGGAGAAAGCATTAATAATT